TCCTTCCGTACAAGCTCAGAGGATTAAAGCCTTTCAAGAAATTATGCACTCCGATGCTGTCGGTCCTGAGATGTTCGGAATCGGTAAATTCTTAGGCGGTGGTGGGATTCAGTACAGCGCTCAGTGCATCTGTGATGATGTTACTGGTGATTGTACGGTCTGTCATGGTAAATTGGATGCGATGCAAGCTGCAGTCGGCCTGGCTAATCCTCTACGTGTCGAGCAAGACTTTGGAAAGGCCATGTGGTACTGGGCTGATTGCACTTCCGATTCTTGGATGGACTTCTACCCTTCTGATGGTGTAGCTAACTGCAGTGAGGAGGATCTCCAAGATGCTATGGAAAAGTGTTGGGCATTTGATAGAGATGTTTACGGTGGCCCCTATAAGGCGAAGTCCATCTACTTCCCCAAGGATATGAGCATTGAAACTTTGGAGTATCTCGCTCAAGCCTCGGTCGACCCAGTGTGTCAAAATGCTGGTGATTGTGTGATGCTCTTAGACTTCTACGGTCATGCCATGTCAGAAGAGCCCGAAGACTGTGACCCAAGTGCTGGCAAGTGTACCTCTTTCGATCATCGAACGCCCGGGTGGCACCTGCAAATGTTGGCTATTTGGGATAAGGATGAGCCAACTCCCACTGACAAACTTGCATGGATTCAGCAGACTTATGACTCGGTCTTTCCAGTGTCGCTCGGTGAAGCCTTTCAGAATTACATCGATTCTGACTTGGCTGAAGGCCGTGAGTGGATCAGTCAGTATTTCCCTAATGCGGATACTTATCCAAGACTTCAACAAGTGAAGTGTCGATATAATGGGATTGACATGTTCAACTTTGCGGCCATTGACTTGATGACTATTGATATTGATGACGACATATGCGGAGTAGATACCACTACGACTACCGAGGTCCCTACCACTACGACTACTGAGGTCCCTACTACTACGACTACTGAGGTCCCTACCACTACGACTACTGAGGTCCCTACCACTACGACTACTGAGGTCCCTACCACTACGACTACTGAGGTCCCTACCACTACGACTACTGAGGTCCCTACCACTACGACTACTGAGGTCCCTACCACTACGA